GGGTTAACTACGGCCATCTTCGGAATACCTCGTATAACCGTCGGCAGTGTTTGTGTTTCTACGTACTTACTTCGGGAATCTTCGTTGTAATTTGCATTTGTATTACAACTTTGCACTCGTTACACTTACCTGCACTCGTGTTACGTGAGACTCCTTTTTTAACCAATCAGAATTGAGTAATTTTTCCGAGTGTCTAGTTTCACTGCAAGTGTTATCTTCCTTTACCCTGCGAGCAGAGTCCCACTCGATCTTCCCAGAAAAATCGGTAATCTTCCTTCCATTTGCAGGATAAATGCTACGTGTATCAGAATTCTTGGGGTCTCACCACTCGGACTGTGGGAGTAATGACAATGGTTCATGGGGATAATCAAGGACTTGTACTACCACCTCGTGTTGCTTCTATTCAGGTAATACTGTAAATTATCTATTAAACGCCACTCTGATAAACGCCTTGTATCTAATAGACGCCCCTGTGAAATTCGTATTTTGTATTAAACCATCACATCATAGTTACAGATCAGGCTGATACAAACTATGCCTGCTGGACCAAAGAGAAAATGGTTTGCAGTCTACACGTAGAATTAGAAATGAAAGTTGATACTATACAGGACTATTTTGTACTACCAGCGGTCATCAGGCTACAATTGTGGTCAAAACTGTTGAGACACTTTACCAAATATAAACCAATTTGAGAACTACAGCCTATTTGTTCAACCCCCTCCCCCATTTCAATATTGTCGCGTTGTGAAAACGATGTTAAAACGAAGCAGGATGAATTGTCAGCCCAATGAAACAACATTGAGCAGGGGGAGAGGGGGACAAAAATATTTATATCCACTCGTTGGTTAAGTGACTTGTGAAAAGTGTGGGATATTCATTGTCTCAACTAGTTTTGACCTAGTCTCCTACGCAGCCGTTATTTGTGTCGTCACGCAACGCACAAATAACGGCTGCGTAGGAGACTAGTTTTTGACCACGATTGTAGTATGTTTTGTAGAACCAAACTGTATCATAAACATAAATATATAAAAAGTTGAAAAGACACGTACGTTACATTCTACTTACACCAACTTTATCCGTTATGTTCTGCAGGCTGTAATCATTCCATGTGGTTTGACAGCCTCTCTACCCGAGGCTGAGAAGAGCAAGTTGTTGGACAAGTGTAAAGAATTAGAGGACAAACTTAAAGCAGCTGGAGTGCGAGCCAAAGGAGATTTCAGAGATAACTATTCACCTGGATGGAAATTCAACCACTGGGAATTAAAGGTACTCTGTCGACAATGACAACAACAACAACAACAACAACACAACAACAACAAAAGCATCAACGTCATCAACAATAACAACAACAAAAAGAGCAACGAAAAAACAACAACAACAACATAAAAACAACAGCAAAAAAAAACAACAATTGAAAACAACAACTGAAAACTTTAATAGTTAATTCATACTTCATTATATGGCAAACTGGTCCACGATGAAAAGGAGCATTCTGATTGGTTCCCTGAGCGGTCCGAATTTTTTAAAAAAGGAACGCTAAGATGGACCGCTCACGAACTCATTTCGCCGAATTCCTTTTATGAAACATTGAACAAAAGAAAACTTTTTCCTATTTTCCTCATGTCTGGCGGACAATTTTGGTTTCATTTTTGCAAACTGGCCTGATAAATGCAAGAATATGCTTAACCTTGGCACGCGCGCGTTAGCCGAGAATGATTGCATTAATTTATCAGCAAAGTTTTTAAAAAGCCATTATAATAAAAACTTTATTGAACTAGCTTGTTCGGTCCGTATTGGGAAATATTGGTCTCGTTCTTTATTGCAAGTTTATTTTCCCAATACGGACCTCACGCTAGTTCAATAACATATATTTTATAGTTACACAAGAGATTGGAAAAATGTTCAGTGCAGGTCATCTGAATATAACAGAGGCTAATCTGGTTGACACTAATTGCTGGTAATTTCTGGACGAAAGACCACTTGGGGCTATAGTTGACGTCTCTTTTATTTTTCAGGGCGTTCCTCTTCGTATTGAAGTTGGACCACGTGACGTGAAGGCCGAACAAGCGATTGTTGCACGAAGAGACACTGGTGACAAGGTCAGTGTCAGATCAATTCACAAATCTGTTTTTTTTTTTTTTTTTCTTTTCATTTTTTTAAATCAATTCACAAATCTTGGTTCCGGCAAAGTTTTTTTTTTTCATTTGTTCGGAGTGTTTTGCGTTTTAGATTTTGCAAGGTACTACGATTATCCGTTGAGTAAGGCGCACGGGAAGTTTGGTGACAATGTTTTCACGTTATAAAACTACGTTGTTGCCATGAGCAACTGGCTAGGTTTCTAATGGTAACCCAGCCTTTCTATCTGTTACTGACGTCAATGGTAACAAAGCGTCAGCCACACACAGGTTACCATTGGAAACTAAGTCAGTTGCTCATGGTAACAACGTAGTTTTAACCTGTAAACCTTGTCACCAAACTTCCATCGCGCCATACTCAACTGATAATCGTAGTAAAGCAGCCTTAGTTTTTCTCATAGAAGGATTTTAGAATGTTCTGATTTTTGTTTGGGAGGTGAAAGTTTAATCTTGATTCTTTATGCTTTCATGTATCTACAGCATACTATCAAGCAAGATGGTATAGAGAAACACATACAAGAAACTTTGGAACGTGTTCATACTGATATGTATGACAGGTAACGACTGCACTTTGTGTTAATTCTGTCTTTGTAAGACAAACATTGAGACTAGTAATTTCATTTTACTTCAGTTTGCCATGTTTTCCCCTAAAATAACTTAAACTTATTTTAAATCGAGCGAAAAAGGAAGTTTGCTTATACGTAGTTACTGAGCTTTTTGATTGGTTGAAAAAACTCGTGCCGATTTTTTTAACCAATCAGGACCAAAACGTGAAAGAAGTAAACAACAACAATCGTGAGTTGGCTTACCTGCGTTTGTTTTCCCACGCTTGGCACCAGTTACATGTTTTCCGCGCTTGGCATCGCTTGCGTCTTTTGCTTTGAATTCTGATTGGTTCATTACATTATCTGCATTTGTTGTCTCTTGTGATTGGCCAAACATACGATTACATTTTGGTTACGACAATCATCAGAAATCCGTTGTAAAAGAATTCAATGAACGTTAAGTCCAAGCCATCGCATAATTTAGTGTCAAAGTCCTTTTTACACTAAACCGATAGTGCTCAGAATTAGAACTAAAATACACTTTCTTACGTTGAAGCCGGAGATCGTTTTATCCAGTAACTGTGTGACATCGTGTAGCTTCGGTTTTGGATTTTAAATCTAATAAAGTTAAATAATTATAAATGATCCTTTCTAAATCTATTTTATTTTGTGTCCTTCCATGTACAGAGCCAAGAAGGAAATGGAAGCTAATCTTGCTGTAGCTCACACGTGGTCCTGAGTTTAACGCAATGCTGGATAAACAAAAGGTTTGTACTCGAGTGATCAACATCTTATCTCTCCTTACAATATCAATGACATTGTCAAACAGACAGGCGATGAGAATAAAGAAAATCATCAACTAGGAGATATTGTGTCGATGTAACACCAAACTCTCACAACTGGAATTTGAAGAAATGTATGGTACTAAGCAAGGAGAGCTGATAGTTTGAGCTAAAACGGTTTAAACCTTTCACTCCAAAAAGTGCGCAGTTCAAAACTGAAGGAAAAAATCACGAATTTCATTTTGGAAAATTATCAAAAAAGAAACAGCACCACTTGAAAGTACTGCTCAACAGCTTTCATTTGAATGGTCACACACTAGGGTTTCATCCACAAACTCAAAAAGTTAGAACCACATTTATTGACTCAAGTTGACTCTGGGAGTGAAAGGGTTAAGCCCTGATGTCCTTTTCTCCGTTTGCTCTATTGTTTATTATATCTGCGTCACGTGTACTAAACTAAACTATGGTATGATAAAGCCGCACTCGGGCCAACTGGCCCACACTGCTGGAGCTTATCCCGTATTCCGTAGCATGAAGCGACCAGGGCCCGGTTGTTTCGAAAGCCGATTAACGCTAATCCAGGATTAAAAGTTAATCAAGCTTTTAATTTCTCTTGTATAAAAGTGTTTTCCTCTGCTAATGTTTTGTAAAGTTTAAGATTAGTCAAAGTCAAAACAGAATGACAAAAAATATAAACAGAAAACCTCACTGAAAAGTTACAAAACCTGAAATCGAAATTCGCCGCTAATCCTGGATTAGCTTAATCGTCCTTTGAACAACCCGGCCCAGGAGTTTGCTACTCCCCCTGGTGGGATGCTAGTCTATCACAGGTTACCTCCAGCATTATTGTCAGGTTATTAACAATAACAGGTTATTAACAATACATATTTAAATTTTAACTACTTATTTATATATCTACTTTATAAGTATTTTATATGTTCTATTTATGTACTTTATGCTATAGTGTCCCCAATTAGCTTTACAGCTAAATATTCCAGACACTTAAATAAAGTTTATGTATGTATGTACTGTATGTGTTGCCCTAACAGTTCTCCAGTACACATTTACTCCTGGGTGGAGACAGCGCACTGTGAGAGTTAGTGGACATCTTGCTCAAGAACACAACACAATGACTCCGGTCTGCGATTGAACCCAGACCGCTCGATCCAGAAGTCCAACGCGCTAACCAGAAGGCCACCACCTGAATCTTGTGTGAAAAAGGTTTATTTATGCTGACATAATCTTCTTCTTACCGCAGATCATCCAAGCACCATTCTGCGGTGAAGGTGACTGCGAAGGCAAGATTAAGAAAGGACAGTGCAAGGTATTATGCTGGCTTATATTGAAGTTGAGGAAGTTTTCTTACACGTGAGAAAAACAGAAATTACTGAGAAATGAGTCAAATTCAATGTGGATTGCGAAATTGTATTGGCCAAATTCGTTGTCTTTGTCATGAAATTTGTAATATAATTAATATTATATCACTTTCACTTTTGCGGGAACATATGAACTCAAAATTGACCTTGCTCCCAATGTGTGGCTTCATAACTCAGTTAGTAAAGCATTGCACCGGTAACTCGGAGGCCATGGGTTCAAATCCCGTCGAAGCCCTGAATTCTTATCTGCAATGGCTTACATTGCAAACACAACTGTATGCGATGATCATTAAATTTTATTCACTTAACATGTATCCGCAGTTCATATGATTTCATATCAGCATCACTTAATATCATATGTTTCTTTCAGTGAGCGTGCTTTGATCGTTTCGTATTTTTATTTTATTCAGGGACCAAGATTTGGAACCAGGAGCCCCATCAATGGGAGCAAAAAGTTTGTGCATTCCGTTTGATCAGCCCATGGAGATCACCGCTAACACAAAGTGCGTGCACCCAGAGTGCGGCAATGCAGCCAAGTTTTACACGCTATTTGGAAGAAGTTATTAGAACTACTCCAGTTGGACCAGGACCCGGTTGTTCGAAAGTCGATTAACGCTAATCCTGGATTAAAAGTCAATCGAAGTTTTAATTTCTCTTGTATAAAATTGTTTTTTCACTGCTAAACGTTTTGTAGAGTTTGAGATTACTCAAAGTCAAAACTGAAGGACAAATATAAACAGAAAACCTCACTGACAGGTTTCAAAACTGAAATCAATATTCACTCTAATCCTGAATTAGCTTAATCGTCTTTTGAACAAACGGGCCCAGATTAACTGTTCCCGACAATCTTGTGAAATCAACCGTTATGTCAATATATTTCTGCCCCTCTCGACATGATGGAGAATAAATAATACTATTTTGGTAGTCGCGAGCTATGTTTGTGAAGTCTCGCATTTCCTGAAAATAATGCAAAAATCCGAACCAATCGTTGCGGTTTTCAAATAATGCAACAGACCAATCAGACGTGGAAACAAAAATATGAAACCGGTGGCATGCGCGGGAAAACGTGTATGCGGTTTGTGCTAGCACGCATGACCCAAATCTCGATTGGTTTCAATCTCGTTCCCAGAGTCCTCGTTATCCTTGTCCAGCGGTGGAGCGGCCAACAAGAATCTCTGAGGGGAAGCGATCCGCCATGACAAGATTCTTGGACTTCCGGTCTTACCGCGCTAGTCAGGCGGATCACTCGATCCCAGAGGTCCTTGTTGGCTGCTCCACCGCTGGACAAGGGTAACGGGGACTCTGGGAACTAGATTGGATTGGTTTTGTATCACGACTAGCCTATTGGGCTGCAGTACTTGAAGCTGGTAGTAAACTGGATCGTAATCTGGCCGTACGTAGATCTGTATGAATCTTCTTTCGCTTCTCGGAAGTAGACCTCTATTGTTGTAGAATAATAAATTTGCACGTGTAAGATTACACTGAAGCCAAAGGCTGTAATAAAGATTTGACAGCAGATATATTGAGGAATGTCCCCTTTTTACGATCAAAATAATATAATATTTGGTCTTTTTTTTACAAACGATGCGTCAAACTTCAAAGCCCGGGCAAAACGAGGATCACTGGAGGATTAAAGCTGCTGAGAGTTGGCTCCCATGGGAGTTCTCTTCAAATCTCAGCGACTATCATCACCCCGGGCCAAATCTTGACCCGAGATCTCTTCATGCTGAGATGTTACAACATTTTTGGCCAACACTTAAAGGTTACAAACACCAAATGATGTTCCTACAACATAGTTAAAATAACAAAATAGACAAAAGTTGAAATATTGAAAGTGGAATAATTTTTGATTGAATGGAAGCGTCCTAGGTTGTCCCTTAATTCGAAAATTCAATTTTCTGTTTCTTTATCCGCCTTATCGAACCTGTTTTTTTTTTGGTCAAATGGACTGTTCGTTCGGAGTATTGTATTGAATTATTGGTTTTCACACACGCCAGACGCGCCATGCACGTACGAATTTGAAAGGTCGAATCCTGACAATTGGCGTAATCATCGGCAGCAAGTGATGCGCGCAAAATCCCATACGAGATCACCGGAAAGTGCTCGCTCATTTCCATACAAACATAATGGCGGCAATTCAATTCCCGGAATTTGTTTTCATTTCGCGTGGATAAGCCGTCACGGAACAGATAAGGTTTTTACCTTGGAAACAATTCCGAGAGAGACTCTTCTTTCACATATCTTTTTTAGCAAACTAATTATCTTTCCCACAATAGTGAATTTATCGCTCGAAGTCGAGCGACTCGTAAGTGAAACACGAAAACATAGCTCAAAGAGTTCATGTTTCACTTACGATCGATCGACTTCGAGCGATAAATTCACTATTGTGGGAAAGATAATTAGTTTGCTAAAAAGATATGTGAAAGAAGAGTCTCTCTCGGAATTGTTTCCAGGTAAAAACCTTATCTGTTTCCGTGACGGCCTTATCCACGCGAAATGAAAACAAATTCCGGATTTTGAATTGCCGCCATTATGTTTGTATGGAAATGAGTGAGCAGGTTGGCGCACGCGCACTCATTTTGCCGCTGTGTCACCGGAAAGTGCTTAAAGTTAAGAGTGAATGTCCCTTATAATCGAAGAAAATTGAAAAATTCGCGGACACGGTCAAAATCGATTTGGCTCATATTTTGTCTGTAGGAAGCTTTACATACTAGACAAAACGAAATGAGGTTAGATTTTTGAAATATCCATTTTAACGGGAATAAACCGTTGAAAAACCGACTGAGGGTGAAAAGCTCAAGTTTCACCTTCTGCGAACGCGAAATTATGCAGTTTTCAGGCAGTTCTCATACGAACTAAAACGTAACAGCAGAACTTATCCAGCTATATATACATAGTGTGGGACTTCCTTTATCGAGATATAGTGATATTTTTGGTCTCGTGTTATTTCTGAAGGAACCACATCCCGATTATGAGACGACATCTTCAGCCTTTCGTAAACAAGCCAAAGGCGGCTCAAATTAGCTTGGCAAAAAAGCATGTGGTAGTGTCTCAAAATTTCTAAAAATATTTCCAGCGACTCTAGAAGAATAGTTCTATACGATTCTGGTCTTATTTGTTTGGGATCTTCTGCTATTTTAATATAAAAACTGACCAAACTCGACCTAAATTACAAATGACGCCATGTTGAAACGATTGACATCAGAATTTATCGCTTTGTAATCAAGTAATTGTTTTGGCCTAATATATCCCCATTGATGCTTAGAATCAATAGAAACGTATAGATGATGTTTATAATTAGACTGACTCTAGATATACCGAGATATATAAAATAAATTTCGACTATACATACCTTGCAAATCGCGCCATAATTATACGGTGAATTACTCTAGCTCATCAATTCCCGATTGGTCTTTTGCCATACTACAGTCCGCTTCACATTCACTCGGCATAAATTATATTATTTGCATCCATATATAAGAAAAACTCTATGTTGTCTTCATAATCAGTTTCGAATATACTGAGAAACAAACTGAGTGGAGGGCTCGATCGAGTCGAGTGACTGAAATCCGATCGAGTGACTGAAATCCGATATGCGTGATCTCAACGGCAGTAACAAACTTACTGTCACGCAACCCTTCAGTTCGGCTTTATCTCAGTTACAGTTCTTTTAGTCATGGGCCAGGCCAGAATTTCTTACCACTTCGGGGGACAAACGGTGACCAGTGTCAATTTGAAGAGTGCTCAAGTTGTTTAATAATTTTGATGATAGCAATTTTGAATGGGTAGCTTTATGGTATATTTTTTAACTTCAAAAAGCCAAAAAATGTGCTTTAGCGTGAAAAACGAGGCTCAAAAGAAAAGCCAGCCTAAAAAAGGAACGATAATCTTTCTACGCCTTCTTGAAGGCATGCAAAGATAAAATATATTTTATTTCATTCGATTTTACTGACTAAAACGAAAAAACGCTTTTAAAACCTCGTTTTAGAACAAATTCCCTTTCATCAATGTTTGCAATGCATCATGGGTAATCTAAGATGGCGGACAATCTTTCAGGTACGTTGTTGGTCGTGTTTCCTTGCTATTTATGACGGATTTCCGACATTTTAATACAAAATATATAGAAAATATTTTCACTAAAGGGTTTGAACAACTATTTTAAAGAAAGTTTTACGAAATTAGTGCTTTTTTTAAGTGTTTTTTTTCGGTAAACATTCGTACAAAACTTTACCAGCATTCGAGATGTGCACTCGATTGTCGAGGTTCGTGTACTGAATTGAGTGTGTATTTGCTGGTTTTATATTGTTGTAAGGATACTTGAGTGACAACGAATTGTATATATGTGTTTCCAGTTACGATAATTAGTGCAAATGGGTGGATCTATAAAGTGTATGGGTCAGATTCAAATGGCAAATATGATTTTCAGCCGAATTACTAAAGTGAGTGTTGGTTCAGTGATGCTGTAGTTTACTTTCTGGAATTTCATATTAGCGGTGTTTTTTTCATTTTTAGGAAATAAATCTAAGAGGAATGTGAATATAGAATCGGAAGAACCCGCCAATAAACGTATTTGCGTAGAAATAAGAGATAACTGCTTAATACACTGCACCGAAACGTCCGATGATCTGTCATCATTGTAAGATACCCAGTCGTGGACAACGCTTTTAAGGGCCGCGGAAATTCGACAGTACACTCCGATTCTAGATATCGCCAAGACTGTCACAGGAGAAGAGCCCCCAGATATCAAGTATCACCGCAAATGCCGGAGTATTTTTTACAATGAAAAGAGATCTTGATAAGATATGTAAAGATGCGAATAAGTTCAACGAGTCCATTGTAACAGAACGAAGATTGTCTATGCGTGAACCTCCAACGAAAAACATAATATACAACCGTGTTTGCATTTTTTTGTGACAAGGTTAGTAAGTATTCAAAAGGCTAAGAATGATGGTAAGATATTAGCTAAGAATGATGGTAAGATATTAGCTCTAGTGTCCCGGAACTTGGTAGCAGCTGAGGGCTGTTATCACCGAAGTTGTTACAAGGCGTACACCTGGCACAAGGAGTCAAGCACGCTCCACTACATCCGAGGATGAAGAATCGTACGCTCGCATCGAGTCTGCAGCTTATGAGATGCTATTTCATCACGTCAGAGTGCACATACTTGAAACACCTAAAACTAGTGAGGCTAAACAGATCTTACTCGTACGATGCTCTGTTTTATGGAAGATTTGG